TGAAACGGACAACTCACTAATTTTAATCGTTGTGTGCCGTTCACTGACACAGAATCCGCAGCATTTGAGGTCGTGATACTTTAGAAGAGGAGCTGGACATTCTGAAAAGAACCCTCCTTGAAAGTGGCTACTCAAAATCCATGGAGTTTAGACCAATAAAATCACCCACCTTTTTTCCTCACCAAAAACGTTTCTAGTTGAATCGACAATTCAATGGGAACTCATCGGTAGAAATACTCAGAAACTGCCTGTCTCACTCACTGGATAAAACCTTCTTCGTGGTTGAACTTCGAATAACTTTCTCTACGAAACCAATGATTTGCATGAACTCGAAGAATCAGCCACCAGTGCTGGGCTCATCAGTGTGCATCTATCAATTCATCTGCTCGTGTGGAGTTAGGTATGTCGACCGTACCCAGCATCCGTTATCCAGACGTACTTTATAGTTTAATAAAGGAGAAACAACATCCCCACCAAAGCTCTATCCCAGAACACTTGATCGAATCTGGACACCAAGCCAACCCACTCACAAAGGAACTACAAACTTCTCTACAGAATATGTGGGAATCTTGCTGAAAACGTACGAATCAAACTTCTTCAAACTGTGGAATCAATGGGAATTCACATGTTAAATCTTGAACTCTGTATACATAAAAGAAATTTGTTCAGTCATTAAACGGACAATGGACCTGATCTATCTTAATACCAAATACGGAATTTATGTTTTTTGTTTCTTAATTGTGTTATTTTCATTTCTCAACCCCTATTACATTTTTACCCCTTATTACCACAGTTGTATACTCGACTCTCGTTCAAATTTTAGTTGAACTCTACTGGACTCCTTCAATTAAATTACGTCACTCAACTTACGTCTGAAAACCAACCATTATTATTATTGTACCCTTTAATTCCTAGAGGAACATAGGGCTTCAGCCGTGCGTCTCCACTGAGTTTGGTTCTCTGCTAGAGTTTTCACCTGCCTCCAAGTCTGCCCACACGTTTCCATCTCCTCTTCACATGACCTCCTCCAAGTCACCCTTGCATTGACGACCAACTCGCCGCTTCATTTTCGGCAGGGTTCCACTCGAGCAATGGCTTGTCTAGTGATGTCACTTGGTTGTTTGTTTTCTCAGACTATGGCCAATCCATCTCCATTTCTTCCTGCATATTTGTTTCAAAATCGGTTCCTGGTTGGTTCGCTCATTGCCAGAGATCTCTGTTGCTGATTTTTTCTGGCCGGCCATCTGATCTTGAGTAATACTGAGCGAAGGCAGCTGTTGAGAAAGGTCTGTAGTTTGTTCGAAGTACCCTTCGTGACGCGCCAAGTCTCTCATCCGTATTGTATCACTGACTTCACATTGGAATTGAAAATCCGGATCTTATTTTTGATGCTGAGTGCTGTTGACCTCCACACAGACTTGAGAGTAATGAAAGTTTATCTTGCCTTCCCTATCTTTGCTTTGATATCCTCGTCAGTTCCGCCTGTAGTTGAAACGATGCTTCTCAGGTAGATAAAAGAGGTTGTTTCTTCCAGGTTCCTCCCATTTATGCTGGCTGATTGTTGTCTGTTGTTATTGCTGTTGGTGGTGTTGCCCAGGAATCTTCATCACCTCTGTCTTTTCTTTGTTCACCTGAAGTCCTTCCTATCTTCTCTGGATGCTTCTTTTACCAACTTGTTGCTTTTCATCACTTGCATATCTTCCAGTTTTTGGGAAATCAGACATATATCATCGGCGAAGTCCAAATCATCCAAGTCGTTTTTTGTGTGAGTCCATTTTATGCCTGTTTCCTCGTTGCCCGCTGTTTGTCGCATTATCCAATCTACTGCAATCAGGAAAGTCATTGGAGATAGTAGGCAGCCAGCTTGTCTTACTCCTGTCCTCACTTCGAAGGATTCCGTAAGTTTCCCGTTGTGGATTACTTAAATTTCTACATTATCCCAATCAAATTGGTGTCCATAATTATCCACATGTCTGCCATTTTTACAGCTAATTTGTGTTCTTGGATTCATATACTAATTCCAAATCAATAAAAATGATCAATAAAGATCGAAATCAAGAAACAATCATTCCAAAGGAGGTTGGCGAGAATTCGAGTCAGTTGATTCCGTACTTAGACCTGCCCTGAAGATGTTGTCGAGAAGGACAACGAAAGCTTCACTGAATTTCTTTTATATAAATCATTCCAGCCTGAAAGCCAAACAGAAGCTTCAAAGGTTGATGCCGTTTCTTCAACAGGGTGTAATAATCCTTATGTTGCCTTAAACAGGGTAAAGTTGTTAGCCTCACGTCTAACTTTCCCTCTTTCCAAGGCCTATCATACCCTAGTAAACTAAACAAGGTGGATATTGATATGATTATGAACAATAAATTTTTGTTCGAAACCGTGTCATCTAGTAAATAATACTGTCACTTTCACTGTGTGATACATCTAATAAACAAACTAATATGGAATTACTTACTACCACAGTACCCAAGTTTTACACATATATTAATATGACTTATGGTCTTCCTGTACGAAGACTTATCAATAAACTCACTCGACTTTCACAAACTGAAGCAAGATATGAAAATCATCGTATTTTCAGCATTCGATGCTTAAAAAATGAAATCATTCCTAAATATCTACGTCTACGAGCTTCAGTTCCAACGGACAGAGTAAGAAGCAGAATAGAAGGCCTACAAAAATTATGCCTGAAAGAAGAGATCCACAGAATTGCTAAAAAGTTGCAACATATCAGATATGAAATTGAGCAATTAAAACAAACACTTAAAGGAATAGTTACCAATGTAGATTATGATCTTATAACACAGTCAGTCCTCCAGCAATGCAAAATCAGCAACTTTCAAAAAGTCAAAACAATAGTCAAATCAAAAAGTTCAGCAAATTATTAGAAGAGAAATCTTCATCTCAGAATGATGAAGTCAACAATCCCAAGTCAACGGCGATCGATAAATCAAAGTGGGTTATCAATCTCTCAACATTTATATTAAGTCCTACGGAAATAAGTGTATTAGAAAAGGGGCTAAATTTCAATGTATCAGTAGACAAGCTGAAACCTGAGGATGTCATCCCTAAAATAGAAATAGCACTAAGTGTGTGGGATAGACAAAACAACGGCTGACGAAGTACGGGCACAATGTGCACTAAAAATAAAATGACAAAAATGTGGAAAGCCTAACCTGACAAAACAAGAGATAGAAGCCCTAAAACACCTAAAGAATAACAAGGATATAGTTATCACAAACTCAGACAAAGGAAATGCAACAGAAGTGTTAGACAAATCAGACAATTGATATGATTATGAACAAACTTTTGTTCGAAACCGTGTCATCCAGTAAATAATACTGTCACACTCACTGTGTGATATATCTAATAAACAAACTAAAATGGAATAAGCAAGGTTTGGCAGTATGTCGGGCAGAAATCGAACGTGGATCACGTAAGCATTTAGTGAGCATCCTACCACCGAACTGTCAATGTAGAATTGATACTCATCGTGCAAACGGAAATTAGACGAAAAGTGCAAATCAAATAAATACAGATTCAGCGAAGAAAATTTTCTTTATCGACGAAATCATCTTCAGAGGCTGTACAGTCGTTTTATACTTACTTACAAAAATATATAGTGGTCTATTATTGAGTAATAGGGGGGCAGTGACATAATTGGTATAATTACTCAGAAGTGGCTTTAGAAGTGAAAATTAACAGTTGTAAATTACGTGGTACTCAATGGCACAAATGGTTAGAAATTTGATAAGGTTAAAATTGCTATTGAGTGAGAATACAGGCGGTAGTTGAGTGTCCACTTAACAAGTGTGAAAATGGTGTGAAATTGTACAAAAGGAACATATGAGAGTGATAATAGTGAATTTATTATTAAAGTAAAAGCTAACTAAAAGTGAAATTAGAATGAAAAGAAAAAATCAAAAAATATTTTATTTACAAGGAACGATTGGTGAAGAGGTTAAGACCAACGTAGAATAAGAGACTGGACAAACGTTTTCTGTATACAGAGATCAGGGTTGTATTGATGAATTACCAACGCCACTGCCATACACAAAAGGCGAAACCTGACGCCCTTTGTACCATTTGGTTTCATTTTGTAGATGATCTTGAAAGACGACTCTGGTCTAGCTAAGTGGCCTGTGTTCACCAAGTGCTCGAGAATTGAGCTAGTAATTGTCTTACATTGTCCCTTTGCTAACCATGCCGGATAATGTTCAGAGATGCGTTTGGAAAGCGTGCGCTTTGTGAGGCCAATATAACTAACTCCACACGAGCAGGTGAATTTATAAACACACATTGAGGTGGCCCAAAGTGGCGGCAGTTGATCCTTCATACATCCACTGATCATTCGTCGATTGTAGAAATTGATACGTAGCTCAGCCATAGAGAAGGCTTTCCTCAGTGATCTGCATAAACGACTCTTCAGGATCTCAGCTGGTCTTAACCTCTTCACCAATCGTTCCTTGTAAATAAAATATATTTTGGATTTTTTCTTTTCATTCTAATTTCACTTTTAGTTAGCTTTTACTTTAATAATAAATTCACTATTATCACTCTCATATGTTCCTTTTGTACAATTTCACACCCTCTTCACACTTGTTAAGTGGACACTCAACTACCGCCTGTATTCTCACTCAATAGCAATTTTAACCTTATCAAATTTCTAACCATTTGTGCCATTGAGTACCACGTAATTTACAACTGTTAATTTTCACTTCTAAAGCCACTTCTGAGTAATTATACCAATTATGTCACTGCCCCCCTATTACTCAATAATAGACCACTATATATTTTTGTAAGTAAGTATAAAACGACTGTACAGTCTCTGAAGATGATTTCGTCGATAAAGAAAATTTTCTTCGCTGAATCTGTCTTTTATTTTCTTCATGACTCAATGGGTATTTTCGGTGAAATCCAATATCCAATCAGTTCAAATAAATACATAAATGAATACTGAACAACCACAAAGCAAACTTAGCATACGAACTTACATCTAAACTACGCTGTTGTACTAAACGATATGAAATTCTCTCTGCAGCTGAACGATCGACAACAGATAATCGGGATTCGTGCTTCTCTTCCATATTAGCATCTTCATCCAACTCTCCTGGGCGACAAACACCATGTTCATCACGAATTAAAGCGCGCTTCTTGTGGCTGTTAATATTGTTATTATTGCTAAAGCTTTCGCATTTGTCAAGATCTCTGCATTCTCCTCTACCACAACTATGATCACTGTCAGCGACACAACCGCCACCACCACCACCACCTCCGTCGCCGCCAGTGTCATCTTTATCAACTGATTGTTTAGCTTGACATTTCGTATCCAAACTGCTACTTCTTTGTACTAAGCAGAACAAAAAAAAAGGAGAAACAATAACAACAATAATAATAATTAGGAAAACAGCAACAAAAGAATGTTACGTAATCAGGTTATTTTATCAGCTCCTCGACTGGTGGATAATGCTTTGAAGTTTCAAAAACGATGAGGGTGCAGGGTTAGAATCTCATGGTGCGAACCCTATCACTCAATGGGAATACCGATATAACTGGCTGACGAATCCTAATTGGGACGAAAATCGTATTCACTAGATTCTACTGGTAATCACTACCAATCAATATTAAACCTGAGCACACTTCCCAGACCATAATAACAAGTGGTTATGTACAGATTCACCGGATCTATTGACTATTTCACCCTCTTGGACACCAGTGACCCAGGATTACGCAGATTGGCTACAGGACTTCATCATGAACTGAAATCGGTTAGAGAACTATTCGAAAACCTGGAAGTACTGGACAGTTGTTTCATCCGCCTAGTTTGGGGCTCTTCATCAGTCTCTCTAACCGATGTCAGTTGATGATGAAATAGTGTAACCAGTCTATCAAATCCCTCCAAACCAATACTTGAATACGCGGATTCTCTAAAGCGGCCCTGCCGCTAATCTTTCGGGAAATTAACCATGACTTACCTCTAATTTGAGCCTAACCCTAATTTATACGTAAGCTTACCTTCGTATGTGTTTAGCCAACCATCATGTCTTCCCAATTAGGTTAATCTATATGGCTAATTTGTGGATAGTGACTACCAGTGGAATCCAGGATAACGCGCATTTCGTCCGAATTGGGACTCGTCCTTCAGCTGGATGTACCTGCATTCCCCAGTGAGTGATGATGTTCCCACCACCGAGGCTCGAACCCAGTGCCCTTAGTTTCAAACGCCAAAGCGTTATCCACTAGACTACTTGGGCCACAAATGCGCGTTATCGTGGATTCCACTGCTAGTCACCATCCACCAATTAAATTCAAATGTAGATTGTTGGTTTTGATAAGTGTGTAAAATTATAAAAGCAGAGTGTGTTCACATAATGAAATCACTTATCACATTCATGTTGATTTTGTCATTTCATGGGGGAGGTGTGTGTGTGCGCTGTAACCAGGTCAAGTTCTGTTTTAGTCCATCATTCCTATTCAGACAATTTGGATTCCACTTGATGATATGAAGTGCTTCTGATATATAGGACGAAACAGTTATCCAGTATTACCAGGTTTTCCAATGGTTCTCTAACCAATGTCTGCTCATGATGAAGTCCTGTAACCAATCAATCAAATCCTTACAAACCAATACTTGAGTCATTTCTTCGCTGCCTGCTTCTTCAGCGAATAGGCATTCGACAAGATGAAGGGCAAGTCTTGGATTATACTTTCTCAAAGAGACTAACTTCCTCTCATATGTATATATATATATGCAATTAAAAGTGTTCTCTGAGCTGGTTGGTTTAGTTGCAAAGCTTTTGTCGTCCTTCTGGACAACATCTCCCTTCAGCGCAATATTTAGCACAAAGTGAAATGATTTAAATTTCTTCATGAGTGATGTAATTGCGTCTCCCAGTAACCATCTTTACATATGTATTGACCACTTTCTATTGACTTGGATTTTAAACTTTTTGGTCATCTGATTTACTTTTTATTAGTTGGTATATTTCGTCTATATTAACGTACTTGTTATAGATATAGCACACAAACCAGTAAAATCGCTTAATTCGATATTATGCAAACCGAAAGATCCAACAGAAAAAGGAGATCAAATTAATACCATTTACAAAATAAATTGTATGAACTGCAACAAGCATTACATCGGCCAAAGTGGGCGTCTCCTTCGAATCAGAATCCAGGAACACAAATCAGCCGTGAAGAGACACGATATGTATTCTTCAGTATCAATGCATATAGACAATTATGGTCATCAATTTGATTGGGATCATGTCAAAATCTTAGACAGAGGAAACACGAAAAGTGCCAGAGAATTCCTAGAAGCCTGGTACTCAAACGAAAATGCAATTAACAAACACGTTAATATGGACGAAATATACCAACTAATAAAAAGTAAATCAGGTGACTAGAAAGTTTAAAATCCAAGTCAATAGAAAATGGTCAATATATATGTAAAGATGGTTACTGGGAGACGCAATTACATCACTCATGAAGAAATTTAAATCATTTCACTTGATGCTAAATATTGCGCTGAAGATGTTGTCCAGAAGGACCTCGAAATCTTCGCAACTAAACCAACCAGCTCAGAGAACACTATTAATTGCAAATCATCCACCTGAGCTACAAATCTACTCTATTATAAATATATATATATATTGCCAGGTCGTTGTAAAAGGCAAACTCTATTCATCAATAATTAAAAAGCGTTGTAATATACAATGTATGTAAACTCATTGTGTGTGCGTCCATTGATATTCACTCATTAAAATCTATCTCATATTGTGATAACAACAAAAACTCAACAAGCTCTTTTGTTTACACTTTCTTTGTTTTAATTTTTTTTATCCTTTGTTTATTTATGCTTTAATCAAGTGGACAGGAAATTCAACGGATCAGTTAACTTGTAAATAACCAGTTAGTTAATTAATTAAGTGTGAATAAATTATACCCTTCCCTGTTTTACCGTTAAAATAAAAAATAAATGAGGTATATAGAAAGCCTATGTGGAACAAAAAGGGAAAAGCAATCGAAGAGGCTATAAAGTTACATAGATTGAGATGGCTAGGTCACGTGCTGCGCAGGCCTAACCATCGCCTCGCCCGACGGACGGGCATTACTAGCTGATATAGGTGCAGGTTGGAAAAGAGTAAGTGGTGGCCAAAGAAAAACATGGCCTCATCAATCCATGAAATCCTTAACAGTTAAACTGAGTCAGGTAGGGAGATGCAGACTTCCGGGTTGGGGCCCGCCCTCGGGACTCTAAGAATCAATGGCTGGAGACAATAGGTGATATGGCTCAAAATCGTTGTCAATGGCTTACGCAGATGTATTCAGTCTCTGTAATATTCAGTCTCATATTCCTTTCTACCATTACTCATCCTGTTTCACTCTTATACTTGTCAAAACTCTATTGATTCTCTTCTCTCATTTTCTTGTCTACCTTTGTGTGCTCTTTGGAATGTGGCAACTCGAACTGCTGCACTTTGGTGGCAAGTTCTATGTTGAATCCAGCCAGTCAGCCAACCAGCTATGTGGAACAACCAGTTGACAACCATTTACAGTTGGATGCCCATCAATCACAAGTGGAACCTGATAATACCTCTTGCGACTAGAGTCCGATGAATCTGGAGCCCACAAATCAGTAGAAGAAGGGATCAGTGTTTTGAGGAATACACTACTTGAGAATGGCTATCCACCACGCTTTATAGATAAACACATAAAGCCCAAAACCAACAAAGAACACCCGATCTCTGTGACGAAGAAGATGCTATACATGAATGTGGCGTTCAAAGGCGAACTCCTGACCGACAATCTAACGAGGAGAATATCTAACACCCTGAAAAGAAAATTCTCATTACAACTGGTATTCTCATACCACCCATTGTTCTTCAACAACTCTAAAGATAAACTATAACATTTAACCACTTCTATGTGTATCTACGGCGTTGGTGGCACAGCGGTTAGGACGCTCGCCTACCATGCACATGGTCCGGGGTTCAATCTCCGGCCGATGCACTCCTTCCTCTACCTCGCTAAGCCAGTATAGTAAGACTGGTAAAGAGGGAAGGTTGGGAATGAGGCTGACTAGCAACCCCATCCTGTAAAAATAATCACCACTATGGTCATCAGTTTGATTGGGATCATGTCAAAATCTTAAACAGAGGAAACACGAAAAGTGCCAGAGAATTCCTAGAGGCCTGGTACTCAAGCGAAAATGCGATTAACAAACACGTTAGTATAGATGAAATATACCAATTAATAAAAAGTAAATCAGGTGACCAAAAAGTTTGAAATCCTAGTCAATAGAAAGTGGTCAATACATATGTGAAGATAGTAACCAGGAGACGCAATTACATCACGCATGAGGAAATTTAAATCATTTCACTTCGTGCTAAATACGGCGCTGAAGATGTTGTCCGGAAGGATGACGAAAGCTTCGCGACTAAACCAACCAGCTCAGAGAACGCTTTTAATTGTAAATAATCACCACTGCTAAGGAAACTTCAAGCCTCTAGCTTGAAGGTGCCCGATGTTCCACTGGGAACGTAAAGGAATAAAAAAATGTGTATCTACCAATCCACTTGCTCATATGGAGCAAACGAGATATGTAGGGGTGGTTCGATGCGTGTTTTATCTAAATGAGTCAGAGAATATTATCCCACTTGGTTACGTAAAGGTAACAATGGATCAATAAGGAGTGCTATATAATTGAACATATATTCAACACTGGTCACTCATTATTTGTAAGGAGAATTCATTCAAAATCATCTACAACAAGGTCAGAAGAAGCCTCTCGAAAACGGTAAACTTCCGTATACTCTTTGCAATGCTGAGTGAGACCTTAGCGATCCGGATAAAAAAAACCTGATTTCTGTACACAGAAGAAAAATCTCCATCCTCTCCTTCTACCCTGAGTATAATTCCGAGTTCGACTTCTTTGTCACCAATACTAATTGTGGATATTTTCTATTACATTCTAGTGACCTTTTTAATTCACTCTTTCTACCAGTTGCATGATTTATTTTGAACAGTCGTTTCCATGCTCTTCAATTAACATCTTATTTTTCCGGGTGTCTTTCATATCACGTCACCCCGTGTCAATACTTAGTAATCCTCGTCTTCCCCCCCCCTAGTTACAATTTGATTATTCATCACATTTTTTTAAACATTTTAATGATGTAAACATTAACCCTAACTATTTTTTATATTCTTATTCAAGTATTGGTTTTGTAGGGAATTTGTTTTATTGCATGGAGGATTTCATCATGAGCTGGCATCAGTTAGAGAACCACTGGAAAACCTGGGAGTACTGGACAGCTGTTTCGTCCTAGTTTGGGACTCTTCGTCAGTACG